ATTATAAAATTTTATTTATTTATCTTTATTAAAAATATATTATTATTAAATATTTATTAATTTTAATTTAAATCTTTTATTATTTATATTAATTAAATATATTATCAAAAATATTACTAATTAATATTATATAAGAGAATTATTTATATAAGAAGTTTGCTAAAAAAAATCAGATTTTGAAATTTTTAACTAAATTAAGATTTTATTATATTTAATTTAATAATATCAAAAACTAAAATACAATAAAATCAAAATTTTGTTAAAAAATTTTTTAGAACTTAATTTTTCTATTAAACTTCCTATATAGTAAACAAAATATAAAAAATAATATTTTATTTACAAAAAATTTGAATCTTTAGAATTTATAATAAAATAAAATATTATTAAAATTGTGAGTTAAAATCTATGAAAAATCTATGAAATATGTATGAAAATCCATGGAAATAAAGTTTTGACATTTTGGTATTTTAATTATTAAAGACTAAATATTTTCAGTTTCATCATATGACTAAATATTTCAGTTTTGCCTAGCATCGTTAACTATCTTATTTTAAAATTAAATAATTTAAATAAATTATAAATTATAAAAAATAAATTATAATTTAATATTATATAATTTATTTTAGTTATTAAATATAATACAAATATTATTTTATTTCTAATATCAAATATATAGTTTATAATATAAATTTATTATTATCATTAGATACATATTTATATTTACATATTTTATTGTTAATTATATTTAATAGTTTTAAATAATAACGATAATTATTAAAAAAAATTAAATTTAATGATAATATATTAAATATTGATAAAATAATATTAATTTAATTGTAAAGCAGAAAATAATTATTAAAAATTTATGTTTTATTAAATAGCATATTTAGCTTTATTTTTTTATTTAATTAATTCAATTTAAAAGATTAGATGTATTAGTATAATTAAAATAATTTATTACTTTATTAAACAAGTAACGAGTAATACTTAATTTTTTTTTTTTAATAAATTACATTTATTAAAATAATTTAAAAAGTTTTAATAGCTTTTAATAATTAAATATAATAAAACAAAGATAAATTTTCATTTTCTTTAAAATCATAAAATTAATAATTAAAAATGAGTTACAATTGACGATCCCATATAGGATTTTTTTTAAGGATAGCATATCTATCTTAATAAATTTATTACATTATACATTTTCAATAAATTATAAACATATAAATGACCGAATAATGATATATTATTTTCTTTACTAAATTTATTTTAAACAATTTAAATATAATGTTATTTGAAAGGTAACAATTATCATCGATACACCAAGTTATATTTTATCACTAGTAATCGAAATTTTTTATAAATAAATATTCAATTATACAAGTAAATTTGACTAAAAATTTTAATCAAATTTTTTTTTATTTTTTTTTTATAATTAAGATTAAAGATTTTCGGACTTAAGACACATTGAATGCTAATTATACTTGTCAAATATTAAGTATAATAATATAAGTGCGCCTTTAAAAGTTCAAATGTTGTATGTAATTCATTTAAAATTTTATGCAAACAATTATTTTTAAGCATTCACATATTTAATTTATGGTTAAAGCATCAAAAAGATCATAAGTAATTCAGATGTCTAATTATTTGTTCAAATACAGCCGGGATTCTTTCTAAATGACACTTTTTTAAAATTTACAAATATATTATTTTGTTTTTTAATAAAAGGCGATCTCTGCGAATATGAATCCAACCGATCCGAGGTTTAAAGGATACAATTTTCTTAATAAGATGAATATATTTACTTAATGTCTAAGTGTACGTTAAGGCCAAAAAAATTTATGTTTAATTGTATTCAAAAATTTGTTTCAAAAAATGTAAAATTTTTAAATTAAATACAAAATGTACGTCTCGATACGAAATACCGTTATATAATAATTTCAAAATATGTGTGTCTCATTACAGCGCACAAGTTTACTTAATAAGTCAAAGCAAAGTTGGTTAGTAAAAAATAAAGTTCAATTAGAAGGAACTTTTGCCGACGATCACGAAGTTGGCCAAGTGCTTTTTGTATTCGAATTCCGAATTCCTCCAATATTTCTGTTTAATAAACTTTATGATATTTAATTGTTGATCTCGACTAAAATTAATAGGAATCCTGTTTTGTTTTAACGCATATATATATATTTGGGCGTACAGTTATTAAATTGATACTTTAAAAAATAAGATTTATAGTTAAAATTACATAAAATAAAAAAAGCGCCAAATTCCCAAATTTTTTTTTTTTTTTTTACGATTTGACATCTAAATCTCGATCGAACTTTCCGAGCATTTGATGATAAGCGACTGTCAAATCTGACCAAAATCCATGCTAACCTAAATATTCTTGCATGCCTGATTTTTTTTTTTCAATTGGTATTGTTAGATGCAGAATAAAATGACATTTTATGTGGGAAATATACTACGCCAGTTTCCCTTTTCCCCTAGTCATTCACGTGTTTACGAAACAATTTTCGTGCGCCTCAAGCTACATGATGAAAAGATAATTTTACGAAATTCTTCTCCATTTCGATTTTTTCCCGTGGAGTTGAATGGATAACATCTCTTTTTTTTTTTTTTTTCATCAACTTATCTGAAGAAATTATAACATGACATATGATATGAATAGGAGCAAATAAGAAAAATTCCCTTATTTCTTTTTTTTGAAAAAGATGATTGTTGTCGAGGAAAAAAAAAAAAAAAATTGTTCTGCATTCTGGGTGACGCTAATCTAAAATTGTATAATATTTCCATCCCGCCGAAAATAAGGTTTCGGTTTAGCCGTTTTCTATTGAGTCAGATGACGGGATATTTTTTCATTTTCGTCATTTCTTATACTGGATAAGGACATTTGTTTTTTCTTCGTATTTATTATTATTTTTATTATTAAAACTTAAAAACATCCAGGCGACTAACGAGAATTCGTCCTTCATGCTAAAACGAGGCATGATTGACAAGAAAACACGTGTTTTCTCTGAGGCGCCTTTGGGAATAATAATAAATAGAAAACGATTGTTTGTGGCACGGAACAATGTATAAAATCTCTCTCATTATAAAGTCGATTGTTTTCGCGAGGTGTTACGCTGTTACAATAGGATGGATTGTTGGGATTCATTAACAGAAGGCATTTTCGAATTCTTAGTGCATGTCTAGGTATATGATAAATTCGCATCCTTAATTTAGGCATCATGTAAATCCTGCTGAAATTAATCCAACATTACTAGTGAAGAATGCTCGTAACACGTGCGCTGATTAACGTAAAGCGAGGCGTAATGCCGGGCGTTCACAGAATATCGGGCACATCAAGCAAGCCACATCAAAAATTCAATAAATCTAGACTAATTTAACAATCATGTTAATCTAATTTATGCTTACTTTAGTGCAATTAATTAATTTACCTAAAAAGTACTTTTTTTTTAATAATGATGCAACAAGTAAACAAATATGTAAGACACAAAAAGGAAGGGAACTACCAAGACTAAATTAATAAATAATCTTCGTAGGACAAGCTTTAAAGATGCGACACAAAGCATGCACCTAAACAAAGAACATTAAAATCTTGTCAAACTCTAATTTCATTGTCAAGCTTTAATTTATCGTTTTATGTAAAATTGGATGCAAGCCCTTGAGCATCTGAGCTACACAACGCAGAAACCGGTTAGACCAAGATTCATTCATCGTAATCGATTTCCGTGATTATTTTTTTTTTTTAACTTCTATGTGCGGTAAATCCTACGAGAGACTCACAGTTTGCTTTCAAATATCATACGCAAAGAAAGTGTGAACACATGCTTGGTAACGAAAATAGACGGGACGGAAGATGGTGTATGATGACAAAGTAGCTGCATATGCAATATCAACATCTTTTTTTCTAGAATATTTTTTTACCACTTTGTTAGAAAGTACTTTCGTAATGATACATGCAGATACATGCACGCTTAAAAATGACTTTTTTTTTTTTTTTTTTTTTTTTTGAAAGAATATATTGTACACAATATATAAATTATTTATTAGTTTGGTTAATTAAAAAAAAAAAAAAAAACTTTATTTACGCCCAACATATTTTTGGTAAAACGATTATATATACTTTTTTTTTTCTTGGCTTCTTAAATGAATTTATCTCGATTCCATAATTAGTAATAGCTTTAAATTAATCATGATTACATTTAGATCGTCGGCGCGATAATTACATAAACATTTTGAAAATCTTTTTAAAACAAACCCGTAAGGTCAATCCAAGCCCCTTTAAAAAACCTGTGACGATCATTTCTAACAATTAGGGTATTGTTAATATATTCAACTTACTTAAAATAATAACTTCCGAGTCCTTTCAAAGGGAACCAAACCAGCCGACCAGCCGAAGCTTGTAAATTATTGTTTGTCCCCATTACAGCGACATTTTCTCTATCAAAGGGGGAGATGAAACTAATTAGTAATGCTTAACCTTTCAAAAAAAAAATCTGAGTCATTTTTAGTTTTTTTTTTTTTTTTATTATTTTAATAATATACCATAAATAATTTAAAGTTTTTAAAGTAGCTTTTGCCCAATTTCCGTAATTGATTTAATATGATTTTTTTTGTAACAAAGGAGATTTTTGTTCAACCGAAAAAAAAAAAAGATCTTTTTTTTATTATTTTAACCTATTTTTGAAATAAAATTTAATGCAAAATAAAGATGATCTAATTTAAATCATCAATCACTTATTTTAAATTACAATATAGTTTAGGTTCTGTATTACAGTTTATTTTCGCCAATTCTTGACATAAACTTGATTTTTTAAATGGAAAAACCTGTTCCATTGTCTGTCGTGTAATCGTTTTAATAACATTAAAATAAGAAGTTTGTGCAACTTGCATTAAGAAATTGCCTTTAAATGGTGTCACTTGGCATTTAGCGGGGTCACGCCGTGATACACGCACATCAATGCATTGTTTCAAATTTTTTTTTTTTTTTTTTTCTTTTCATGCAAGACGAAGTTCATTATTTACGGCGTTTAATTAAATTGAACTTCCAAAAAAGTCAGTTGCATTAATTCATTGAAAAAAAAAAAAATAATAATGATGATGATTATGATGATGATGATGATGAATGATTCTTTGGATGGAGGGTCGAAAAGAAGATGATCGACATCATCTTTCAATGGAACCTTTTAAAATGGAAATAAACTGCCCAACTGCCAATCTTGATCGTTACATGAATACAATCAAAGATACAATAGCCTCTTTCAAGCCTATAGTTTATCCAGAGATCGTATCTAATAATTCCTAATCATGTTTCATTCATGGTTCGGACATTTCACTTTCAAACGCCGCGATTCCCAAGCGATATTTGTGGGGTTGGATTGAACACTTTTTAACAAAAAAAAAAAAAGTCACATCATATTATATAAATTTTAGAGTAAGAAATTTTTTTTTTTTTTTTTTCTCTAATTTAGCCGAAATTCGGTATGCAGAGATGAAACGTCAAGCACCACGCGATTTATTGTCAACCTAATCGTAATATTTCCATTTTTGTATGATATCATTTATTAAGATGCGTACAAATACCTAAAACATTGTACTTACCAACTTACGAAATCGTGTTCGTTATGAATTCTCTTTCCTTTATTAGTTTCATTTACCGATGACGCAAATCCTTATCATGGATATCGATGATGTTGGACGAATCCCTTTGTTTCTCACGTCATGTAAATGTATGTGCACCAGGTCATTCCTTGTCCGGGCACATCGGAAGATATTTTTTTTTTCTCAATTTGAAAAACTAATATGTACGTCTTTGTCTCTGGACCATACCAGGGAATTACTGCGCCTCACAATAGATTAACACAATGAAACACCTTTTTTCGTTGTTCAGAAAGTGTCATAGCGTGATTTGTTGATACCAAATGCGATCATGCCACAGTACTCTTTCTCATTGTACATGACATAAATAACGATATACCTCACCTTTATTCAGCAAGGACCTTTGTCATCATACAATATGATACAGCTGAACAGATCCCCCACCGGAAAAAACTTGTCGCCTTTATTTTTTTCAAAAAAAAAATAATAATGAAAAAAAGATAACAACATGATGCATACACTTCTGCATTGTTAAAAAGAAAAAATGTTTTACCTTCTTTCAAAACGCAAGGATATGTATGTTTGTAACCCTTCTTAAAACGGCATGGCAATCGAATTTTCAAAAAAGAAAAATTTTCCTTTTATTTACATGGGTGATACAAATAGGGTAAATTTGAAATTCCTTCATGTACATCCATCCCCATCCGGCATGTCTCTTAATGCGCATATCAACATTAAAAAAAAAAAGAAGGTATGTTGGTATCCAATGAAACTTGGACTCGAGGATCCCCTTTGATTATTAATTGTGGAACGTGGACTTCTAATAAGAAAAGACTAAACGAAATTTACTGCGCAGCGTGCAGAAAGGAAATGCCCACATGCTACATTTAAACAATCCTTGTTTCATTTTGGGTTATCGTAATGAACAAAAATTTTTTGCTGTGTACGTCGAGATGCGCAGTAAATACATCATTTTTAAAAAAAGTATTTTTTTTTTTTTTTTTTCATCTTAAATAAATAAGTTTTTCAAAGAGAAATTTTTAATAAATAAAAGAGATTCCGATAATTTCATGATCTTTATTTACAATAATATAAAAATGATTTAATTATAAACAGAAAATTAAGTATAAATAAAAAAAAAAGTGTGAATTGGAAGAAAAGATAACAAGTGATATTATTAAACGGGGGTTTTTTTTTTTTGCTTTTACTAAATACTTTTGAATTTAATGTCCTTTTTTTTTCTGGATCAACCACGAAAAATTCCAATAAAATAATAATAATATAAAAAAAAGATTACTATACAAAAATATATATATAAAAAGAAATAATGTCCAATTTTTTCCACGATTAAAAAAAACTCCCTCCAAGTAGATTAAAAAAAAAAGATGAGTCTTTTGAGTAAATTTATTATTATTTTTTTAAGTAAATAAATAGAAAAAGAAATTCTTTTGTTCTAATATGATAAAAGAAATATAAGAAATTTGCTAAGTAATAATTGCCAAAAAAAAAAAGAAAAAGTAAATAAATAAATAATAAAGATAAAAATAAAAATAAAAAAAAATCAAACTCGATGTTTGAGACTAAATAAATCGTTTGAATAATGTGACTAAATTTGTGAATTGTAAATTTCATAAGAAACGAGGAAAATTCATAAAATTAAATAAAATTACTTAAGTCTTAAAAAAATCATAATTGGTGTTGTATAGTTTTTTTTTTTCCTTATAACTTAAATATTAATAGTGAGAAATAACGAAATTTTTTTGTTTGTGATTGTGATTGCGATTCGAAGTTTGTTTTTTTTTTTTTTTGATTTGCCAGAGTAGGTGGGACTAAATAATACTTTACCGCCAAACTTATCGAAAGTTTTTAAAAATCATATAGAACAAAAGATTAAGTGTTAATAATAAATAAAAATGTAGGTAACCAATGCCGAATTAATTTTTTTGATAAATATACAAATGAAAATAAAAAGTTTAAATAAATAATTTTAAGGATAAAATATGATATTGTTTATTATTTTTACAAAATATAGCATTTGTGCTCAGACTAATTGAGAATTGTCCTTAACCGGAACAGATAAGATTTCGAAAAAATCGTAATAATTGAGCGTGTTGATATTTTGAAGATCAGTAGTTGGAATATTTTCCAAATTATTATAGAAACTATAATCGCTGTAAAATTGCTCTGTTTCTGTTTGTTCGTATACGAGTGGATAATATATGGGCTCATCAAATGTGTAATAATTCCGCGTATCAACTTCGGTCAACTCAGGAGGTGATATCGGTGTTGTAAACTGTACGGGCATTGGCTGATTTTGCACGATCGGTTTTGGATTTTGGGTGGGCTGACTATTTTTTTTTGGTTTCTTCATTTGTTTTTGACGTACGAGTTGAGGATTTTTTATTTCCCACTCCTGATAAAATTTAGCAGCCTTGTTCGCATATTGTTCATATTGCTCCTTTTGTTCTTGAGGTAATTTATTCCAAGCGTCTCGAGCCCAGCCAGAAACCTTCTTCATGGCATCACGATGTCCAAGACGATGTAAGGATTCAACGTATTTCTTTCTGAATAATATGAAAGCATTCGGCGGCTTCTTTGACTTTCCTTGCGATTTCTTGTCATGGTTACGACCAAGTTCTGAATCGGTGAACGTTGGAGGGAATTCAATTTTCAAATTTTCTGGGGGGGTTATCGCAATATTTTTTGTTTGCTTTCCATCGACGGAAATGAATACGAATTCTTTCTGTTGAGTTGATTTTTCAGTCATTTTGTAATTTCGTTTGTAAAGAGAATTTTTATCGAAAAATTATTTGTAATTTGATACGATTTAAAAATCAGATTTTTTTTTTCAACGATGGTTGTTGAGTGAAGGAAAAGAAGTTTATTAAATTCGTTGTTTATATAGACAATTTTTTATATACGGTTATTTTATGTCAACAAATGAGTATGACAAAGGAACACTTTATGGTATTGATTGTCGTTATATATTAAACCACAACTGTGGTAATTAAGTGTAAGTGAGTTTGAAATCTAAAAAAGGCTCATACATGCAAAATGCAGGTATCGAATTTTTCGTGACACTAAGCGGGTCATACAATAAAGTCGATCATTTTTTTTTACAGTTTACAAAAGATCAAAAAAAAAAAAATTTTTTTCTATTTTAAAAAAATATATTATAATATACTTTTTATGTTGTTTCTGAGCCGAAGGTTAACCCAACTCGGCTTTCATATTTTATAAAATAAAGGAAGGATAAATCGTCTCTTACGACCTCACTTCTTATATATTTTATTTTTTTAAAATTTTTTTTTTTTTAATTTTTTTTTTTCTTTATAGAAAATATATATGTTCATCATTTATTATATAATAGCACGTATAAAAAAAAAAAAAAAAAAATTTTTAAATTCAATCAGCCCAAAAGATTGAAATCTTGTTTTTTTTTAAATGAAATCAAAAGAAATTCAATCTTCATGGCTTTTTTTAGATTCTCCCGTTTCTTAATAATCTTTTTTTTTTCATGATTTTTTTTTTTTTTGAACATTTCATTCATAGTATATCATAATCGACACATCCGGACGTCATCGGAGGCAAGATTTGACATTGTTGAAATATGTCGTTAACCGACAAACAAATAAAATTTAACAAAATATACAAACAAATAACCTCTTAACGTACCTTCAGTATGAGCCAAAATGAGCCGCCCTAATAAGTCGGGGATTAACACTCCGGAGGAAGGAGGATAACGTCAAACCTTTGTATCCCGCAAAAATAAATTAGCCTAATGCCGTTTAACATATTTGGAAAAAGAGACATTTGATGTCAGCTAGTCTAACTTTATTATTCAGTGGGATTTGCTGAAAGGGATTTCATTTTAAAATAACTGAAACAGCTGAAACAGTTCGGTTCATCCGTGCGGAACCCTTAAACGTCACTTGAGGGCCAAGCCTTTTTCTTGTGAAACATTTAACGAATTCTATGGGCATGTATTGATGGTAATCCTCAAAGGAATGAACATAAATTAAAATAATTTTCACTTTAAAATTTAAACATCATATAAATAATGCACCGGTCATACGTATCATGATGAATTTGCCTGATAAAACAAACAAACTATCCAAAAATTTATTATGGTAAATTGACGTTATACTAAACTTTATAGCATAATTTAAGGTGTTATGCGCAATAACAATTGATAATAGTAATCACAACAACAAAATTAAAATAAAGGGTTCGAGGTTGAAATGGAGGCGTGACACATGATGTTATGTCTGCATGTTCTTGTATAACTCTAAATAATTCTTATTAATTCTTTAGCCTATCTTGATAAATCAGTTAATCACTTCTTTATCAGTGCGAAAATGAGTCTATCTCTCTAAAACAATAACATCATAGTCAAAGAAGGTCATACGAATTAACAATTGTAACACAATAGAGGTTCATTATGCTTTTTAACCATCATTGTGTTTTTATATTGTTTATTTTTGTCAATATAAATAAATTCCATTGACATTTTATCTAAATAACGATAGATCGCCAAATGGGATTGCTTAATTCGTCCCTCATTGATATGAATCCCCCATCCTTTTTAGAAATGGAAATTAATTAAATTTATTTTGGGAATCATCTGATTAGAAAAATGATAAACCTGTATTGTTTAGAATAACCGGTTCGAACTTGTTCTTGCATGTTACTTTATGTCAGATGTTC